GAACCCAAGTCTGTCTGCCCCGAAGTCCATAACTGAGTTACCATTCAAAAAGCATTGGTCGAAGGCCTGGGTGGCTCAGTCAGTTAAGCATCCAACTCTTGATCTCGGCTCAGGTCATGATCTCACAGCTTGTGGGATCGAGTCCTGCATTGGGCCCTGTGCTGACAGCATGGAGCCTGCTTGGGCTTCTCTCTCTGTCCCTTCCCCTCATGCTCTCTCTCTCAAAAATAAACATTAAAAAAACCCTTAAAAAAAAAAAGCACTGGTTTTACTATCATATTTAATGCAATAATCACATTGGCTTTCTGAGATAAGGAGATGAGGGGACCAGAAATCTTTAAAAACTCCCTAGGGCTGCAGCCAGCCATCCTGCCTCTAGGGGGGGTCTGTACCCACTCACCGTCTCATCCTCTAAGTCCCGGCTGATCTGCAGCTTGGCTCGGGATGACTCCAGCTGCTTCTTCCTCCTCTCCAGGGGCTCCAGGAGGTCCAGGAACCGCTTCTCGATGCTCACGTCTGTGTCTTCTGCCTCATCTCCCAGTGAGGGCACCTGGGCAAGCAGCTCCCCCAGCTCCTCCTTCCGCACATTCACTTGGTCCTCCACACGCTGGGGCATAAGGGGACAGTGTCAGTACCAACCTTGGCACCTGGATAGTCCCTCATCCTCATCATCATCCGTATCCCATTCATCTTTAAAGGCCCCACCTCCCCCAGGAAGTCTCCCTGGGTGTCCCCACTCATCCTTCCTGCCTCACAAGCGCCTGTCCTATACTTGTGGTGCATGCTTTTATTAACCCCGGATCCCTGTCTTCACTACAAAGGGGTAGGAGATGGGTTATGAACCAGGAGACATTTTTGCTTGATAAAGGCAAGCCCACCTAAGAGGAACAGGAGTACTTACTTTCAGGTTGCACATTTGCTTCCTAAGATCTCCTATTCCAACACTCCCAGTCTACAACCCACTCACGTGCCTTCAGCTTAGCCAGCATCCGGTTGACACTGGTCAGGTCCTTGCCAGGGTCATCGGACCGCAGCTGGTCCTCCATAGCACTGATCCACTTGTTGAGGTCGGCGTGGGTCTGTGAGCGCAGGTAGGAGTTCCTGGCAGCTGAGAGGTGCTGGGTCCTCTCCTGTGTGGTGGCCTGAAGTTCATCCCAGAGCCGGTGCAAATCTTCCAGCCTCTGGGACACCAGGGCCAAATAATGAGGCTTCTCCTCCATCAGCTGTTTTCCTTCCTGTGGGGGAAACAGGAGGGCTCACCCTTTGAGGCCAGGCAGCCTCGGAACAGCCCTGCTCCAAGTGGTTGCCAGGGGTTAACTGAGGTCAGGGAGGCAAAGAATCTGCCTGGAACTCAGGTGAGGCTCATCTTTGAGGTGAGGCTCATCTCAAAGATGAGCCCCCCC